CATTTGGTTTGCAAACACTTTAAAAAATAGGGTGCTTTTTAACAACAGTATTCTCTTTACACAGTAGCAGTTAAAATATTTCTTGTAAATCTCAACTTAGACATTAATTAATGTAATCAAATATAAAACCAGAGCTATTTGCCACTGCCAGGGCTTTAACGTGTTGTAGAAGTTCCCCTCAGAGTCCAAAGATAAGAGAACTCAACTTTGCAGTGGTTCCAAATAACTCTGGTTCTATCAACTCTTAAGCAGTCTTAAGCCCGCCCCAAATGCTCTCATTGGTTGAGACGTGTTAATAATAGTAGGGGAGGCTGTGGCTCAGTGGAATAGTGCGCAGAACTTTGATTCAGGGGATAGCAAGTTTGAGTCCCACTGCAGACAGCATGTCGTTGTGTCCCTGGGCAAGACACTTCACCCCAAATTGCTTTGGATAAAAGCGTCTGACAAGGGACATGTAATGTAATATTAATTAAAAAAATGTTTAATGCCTGTGTTTGGTGTTAATTAATGAATGCGATATTAACGCGTTGACTTGCCCAGCCTTAGTTTTTACGCATTACTTACAACTTCATTTACTAACATAACCCTATTCGAACAAAATTAAGCAAAACATGCATTGAGGTTGCATTGAAGTGTTCTGCTGCACTTTGTGTCGCTCAGTGTGTGTGCTGGGCTGACCTTATGCACTGCTTTCCTGAGGATGTCTTTGTATTCGTCCTTGTTGATGTCTTTGCGCTGATAGTAAGGTTTGATGGCCAGCTTCACTTCCTCCACTGCCCGCTCCTGGGTATGCAGCTTCTTCAGGTACTGGGCAATTTGGGCAAACGACATGTTCAATTAATTATATTATAATACAAAAATTTCAAATATTGCTTTAACAAACACAAAAAACAAGTCCTATTTAGGATCAAAACAAGTAAAAGGCATCAAACTAAGGAAGTTGCACTTAAATCCAAGTCTGACCAAAAATCGCTTCACTTGGCATTTATTTTAATTAGACATTACTGTAAATGGTCATATTTACCACATTAATTCTTAAACTACGGCCCAAAATGTGGTTGGTGAGGTCACAGTGATCTTGATCCTTGATCACTAAAATCGAATCAGTTCGTTCTTCAGTCCAAGTGGAAGATTGTGGCAATTTTCAAACCGATCCCTAATACTGATATATTGGGTTTATATTTTATTATATATAAATACAAATAATTACAAGTTTTTTTCAGTGCGAAAGCTTTGTTTCCGTCACACTGATGTCGACAGGTATGAAACATTGGAGACACTCATATTCTGTGTTGCTGTTGTGATCTTAAACAAACTTTGTATACTTTATTGATCTTAGGTGCACTTTTACTTACAATTACTAAATCAGTCAAACACTTGAATGTGACAATAGCTGCAGTTACACTTTCTGTAATGCATTTATGTTCAAAGAGGTATGATTATTTTTTAAGTTATGCAAGTTAAGTAACAAGATAACATATAATACTGAAATAACTTTAGCTGATAAAGCTGAACAATGTAGAGTGGAATATATGACATAATGGGAAGCAAAGCGTCCTGATCAGCGTTACCTTATCAGGGTCTTTACTCTCAAGGTCCCAGCCAGTGTCTCTAAAGCTCCCAGTGAGGCCGGACAGCCCCCCAGGCATGATGGAGGGCGGGGTCTGTGCACACCCACCACCCATGGAGGGGTGAAGGAGAGGGGGGGGAGTTTTGGAGCTGTGGAGGATGAACTGGGCTGGACTCGGACCAGAATGGGGGGGTAGAGAGGGAGAAGGGGGGATCTGTGAGGATGAGGCTGAGGAGGGAGGAGCTAGCTGCTGGGCCTGGCTCTGATTGGCCTGCGAGAGGATCTGCATGACAAACATGAGAAAAAGCAATGGCTCAGTGGACCTGCTTTCACTCCCAGTACATTACTATACAAACATTTAGGCTGTCTTTTTCTGTAACTGTCCAGAAAGAGAGAGTCTGAGAGGGGGGTGATAATGAAAATATTTTTCCTCTTTACCAACTTAAAGAGCAACTTTTTTTTTTACTAGATTTATGCTAAAAAAAGTTAATGCAGGATTATATATGTTTCACGAGACATAAGGGCAGGAATTCAGAGGGAAAGGAGACGTTTTGAGCTCTGCTACTAAAAACTGCCTTTTTTTAACGTCATATGTGAAACGCGTCATATTACGTCACATGGGGGAGCAACTTTCCCGGACTCCTTCTCTGCCCAATACGCGGTAGCAGTTTGCAGTTGGTTTGAGCGGTTGTGACTTAGTGAGCTAGGATTTTTTCTCGCCGGTCAAATGTCCGAAAAGAATTTATTTTACCAGACAAATTTGAAACTTACCGGTCATGTTTCAATAATAATAATAACAATTGTGTAGCAGAGTTTCCGTTAGCAGGTAATTACCGGACTATGACCTGGATATGCTGATGTTTAAAACTCAGTTAATGGGGCTCATTTTTATATTGTTTCAGTTTAAAATCGTAACAGATCGAAAAATTCAGATTCATTTTTCAATAAATGATTCCATACACAAACAACATAATTATTACATTCAAAGAAACTACTTGTAGTAGATGAAGTACATTATTCAAAAGTTTACATTAACTTTGAATAATAACATGGGAGAAAGGGATCCTCTCTTTTCCCCTCTCCCTCTCTCTCCTGACAGCCCGTCAGTTTCTCATGCAGCTCGCTCAACAGTGGACGGGGCTTCAGGTGATTATGCAGCAGCTGATCTGATCTCTCTCTCTCGGGTCCGGTTACACTTCACTCACGTTTATGTCCATATCGATCAGATCCAGCTCTCCTGATCGGCCTTTACAGAGAGCACAGATCAAATTATTAAGAGTGAATATCGGCCGATAATGATCGGCGGCCAATCGATTGGAGCATCGGACATTTTGACCGGCAGGTTTTGAATTTACCGTTTTTTATTCAATTTTACCAGCTAAAAACCGGTAATCTCGGCTAACGGAAACCCTGGTGTGTATGTGTGTGAGAGAGAGACAGATGATGTGGAAGGCAGAGTAGCTTATCTGACATCTAAATGGTACATTCTAGCCTGCGAGCTCCCCGTTCGAGCGACTGACTATTCCTTCGCAATGTAGCATCGCATTGGATATGGGCTGAACTTGTCCTGGAAGGGAATTGTCTCGGCCATTTCCCTCGGAGGCCGTTCAAAAATGTGCGGAAAAGGTATGAGAGCTGCACATTTTTCAAAATGGCTGACTTTCTGAGGGGCGGGCCAAATGGAAGCCAATTTAAATATGTGTGCCATCATAATAGCAATGTGTATACAGCGTTTCGTGAATATCGGGAAAACTATATGCAAGTACTTTGGAGTCATTTGCGACATGTAATTTGTCAAAAATGGTACATTCTCTGTCAGCTTACGTCCGCCCCGATTGAGCTAGCAACTATTTTATTCGCAATTTAGCATGAT